ACATAAGAATTCCTAAGCTGTAAAGGTGTGACTTCATTCTCCACATTGTAAATGCTTGGATCTTGCATGAAAATGTTTTCCAGTTTCCTGGTCCCATTTCTTTTACCAAGCACTTCCTTAATATCACATGGAAAATAGTTTTGTGTAAACACATGTGAGCAGACTGTAACAGTAAATACCCAAAGAAAATAATCAGTAGTACTAATTTTGCTGAGGTTGTGTGTTTATGTACCCAAGATATTATTGTTAGCAAGAAGGAATGTGAGTTCATTCTCAGCTTACCACTTTTTTTGTTCTTCTATGTTACATTTTGGATAAAGCTTATTTGTTCAGTGTCTTAACCTGTACTTCAGTAATAGTAGTAGTAATAATATAGTAAGACTTGCAACAAGGGTAAGTGCAGCCTGCCCAGGAGGATTGCGGAATGCTGGTATGATAACTTTGGAATAGGCTTTTCTTGTGCTCCATGTGATGAGACCTTCCTTGTGTAGAGATCTTTGCTGAGCCCTTTGCAACAGGAGAGTTCTTAAGTAAAATGAATGCTGTAGTAGTTTAGATTCTCCTTACAGTGAAAGCTTTTATCTGTTACACTGCAGTAATGTAATTCCCCCTCTTCTTCCCATAGCTGTGATCTAATAAGGGTTTATTATTATAGGCTAAAAGGTTTCTCTCTCTTGGATGTATTCCAGGTTTGTTTTGTCAAGTTCAGGAATAGCTCTCTTGAAGGTTTTTGTTCTCTAAAGCTGTGTTAGCATGATTAGCTCAAAGTTAGATAGTTGTATTGTTAGTATTGTTAGATTTGCAGAAGATGAAATTCTGTTGCTGATCCAGGATACAGATGTACTCAGGGAACATTTAAATGTGATCCTGAGAACTGCATTTCCAGGTAAGCAGTTGGGCTGAGGTAGAGCTGATAATCCTGGCTAGCTGCCTCTCTGCTGGCTGCTTATTTGGCTTCTGAAGGTGATTTGGATCACACAGTTGAGAAGAGTGGCTGTTTGACTGGGTTAATTACAAGTGCAGCCTGGTCCCAGAGGGCCGGGGGCTGGTTGGAGCCTGCTGTGTGTGAGCAGCCTGCAGTGCTGACCTCTGTGCCTCAGTCTGCAGGAGTTAAACATACCAGCTCTGTCCCTCTGCTGTTCACAGCCGTCAGTCTCACAGTTGTGTGAAGGCAGTTCTCCAAGGCAGTGTCTTTATGATAACCATACTTTCTCTTTTAATTGCAGGGAGATGGCTGGGTTTACCATAAACCCCTCTGGAAAACAGTCTCTGCTGCACAAACTCAACAAACAGACAGTAACTAGAAAAAAGCTGCTTTAAGATGAGTTTTCTGGTTTTACTCTCCTTTTCCTCTGTCTCTCAGAACACAGTAATCACACTGAGTGTCCCCTTTTTATGTAATTGTGCAAGTTTAAATGAGCATAAAGAAATAACTATACTAGGGCACTTTAAAGCTATTTAAAAAAAAAAAGGTAAAAATCCAAGTTGTAGAGACAAACCTGCCAGGTACATTCAACCAACTTGTTTTTTTGTATGATCCAAGAGATTTTATCTGCATTGTGTAAGATTCTTCCAAGTAGATCTGATTGCAAAAGCTGCCTGAGAGAAGAAGGAGCCTGTTGGATTTTAGAGTGACATAGGAACTCTTCTGGAATCTGTGTCAAGCTCTTTAATCACTGAAACCTCCTCAGTACACATGTAGACAACAGCAACGGAAAATTGCTGCTTTTATGCCCAGTAGTTAACCTTCTTGGCAAAAACTGGAAGGGTGTTTGGAAGATGTGCCTGAAATCAGTATTAAGAAACAACTGGATCATGATGACCTTTTCTTCGGAGAGAATGCGTGCATGCATTGGAGGAATATGGGATGTACGTAGAGACTTCTTTTCTTTTTTATGGATTTATAAAAGCGATTAGAAATGTAACCATGGAGAAATTTTTCCTCTGAAACGTTTTAATATACTTGAAATAGTTGACTTGAATTGGAAAAGTAATTTGAACACTTTTCAACTCTAATTTTATTAAATCTCTTTGAGTGACTGGTTTTTCTCAAGTTATAATATAATGAGATCTGGCCTGTTTTTTCTCCTCCAACTTCTCTTCCTGAGGACTAAGGCTTTCAAAACGAACAGAAAACCTACAGTTTTGTATTTAAATTTCTCTTCCCATCTAATAGTTTCAGAGATGAAGTATCAGTGTTACAAACTGTCCTTTGGGTTGTTTTGTTTTTTCTCCTGTGGTGTTATTCAGAACAAAGCAGTGAAATGTGACCTTGAATACATGGACTGTAGGTCCTGGTTTTTCATCTTACCATAAAAAAACCCAAACAAACATCTGATTATGCTGAGGACTGAGTATTGATTTGAAACGCAATCAGATATCAGGAAACTGTATTCAGGTACAAACATACTTTTTTTTTTTTTCTCCTTTTTATAACTATTTTATTGAAATCTAAGAATTGCTGGCAATTAAGAATAGTACTTACTATGGCTTTCGTTATTGTTGTAACTACAAGCTACCTTAATTTTTCCAACAGTGGTGCCTTAATCTGTTTTTTCTTCTGATGTAGTCTTCCAATCAGTGTATATAACATTATCTGCCACTTCCCAGCCATGGCAATGGCTGCACCTGATCCAACATCATAAAAACTCACAACTGTGTGATCTGGTAAGATGTTTTCCATAGAGAAGATGCAATTGTAAGAATGCATCAGAAGGTTTAAATAACCATGTTAACTTTCAAGACAAACTGAAAATCATGCAAAAAAAATAAGAGTTGGGTTTATGCACAACTGTTTTGATCCTCTTGTACATTTTTTTTTTGCTGTGAAATGCACTGAGATCTCAATGCAAGTCATAGTCCGTTTGTGAGAAGTGGGGGGGGATAATAAAGCTACAAAATGATTCATTTGTTCTGTCTCCTTTCCTAGAGATCAGGTGACCAGGAAGGAGTAGGTGGTTGTTTTCTTTCATGCTGGAGATCTGTCTGGGCTTTCCTTGGTCCCAAAAGTGGGATATTTTGGCACTATGTGCTTGAGTGGTAACTATTCTCCAGCAGAAGAATGTTTCAGGCCCTATTTGTCTTGTTTGTGATATTCTATACAACCATCCTGTTGTGATAATTTTGGATATCCATTGGGCATTTTCATGCTTAACCGGGAATAAAAATAAAAATTAAAATGGTGGGATTAGTTCCTCCTTGTTTCTGGATCTGTGGCACATTTGTGGCACATCCTTGGCCAATTCCAGGATTTGGGGTGGGAATTGTGATGGCAATGTGTGAAATTCTTCCATGGTTCATCAGTACCTGCACCAAAATGGGGCTGGTAGAGAAACAGATTAGCACTCTATATGTTTTGTAGTTGTTTTATCCATGTCACATGGCACATTTGCTTTAAATGAACAGCAAGGGCTGTGGTGTGAGGCCCAGCTTTTAATATTGCAGTGATCAGAGCAAAACCAAACCTTTTCCAGCTGAGTACACTCCAGGGATCAAACTTAAGCTAAGTAAAATACAGACTTACAACTCAGACTCTAAAGTCAGCTTAAAATTTTGATTTGGGATTTGTCAAGGTGATGGCTGTAAATAAGACTGAAAAGCTCCCATGTTGACCATAAACCCATTTGTATTCCTTATATAATACTATTAGTCAAGTAATTTCTCTTCCTTCCTCATCTGGCATGTTTGTGGTTTTACACTGTTACTAATTTTGTTGTATAAAAATAGACGAAATACTGAAGAAATACTTTGATAAAATCCTTGGAGTGATTTCTTTTAACATGGGGATGTTTCTAGGAAAAAAAAAGAAGGTAAAGCTTTCCTTTACTCAAGTGATCATGAGAACTGGAATGGTTCCTGATACAGATTTAGTTATGATGCAAATTTCTGCTTCTAGAGACAAAGAACATAGTTGAAAACCATTTAAAAAGAAAAAATCTAGCCACTGAATATCCAGCTTAAATTGTAATTGTGATTCTTCTGAGAATGGCAAGCACCCTGTGGAGTAATGGATGTATTTTTAACTCTGACCAGATTTGATTCTCTTGCATAACTGATGTTGTTTCCATCCTGTACCTTCTGGAGCAAAGGGAAGGGCTCAGTGCTGCTTCCTGTGTAGATACTTCCTAGAACCACAGTGTGTTCCAACAGGGAACATGGCAAAGTAGGACATTGGCTTATGTTACCGTCTGTCTTCTTGGCTTGATCGGGCCCCACTGAAGTTAAGAGCAAAATTTTTATTGATCTCAGTGGTTTTGGGCTCCCTGAATCATAAACAGATCTTGGATTTTAAATAAGTGGCTGTCTTTAGAGGTGCTGTGCAGCCTGCTGCTGCTCATAGAAAACAGTGCAACAAGTCAGCCCTGTTTTACACAGGCATTCAGGTGTGTAATCCTGATGGATTCGTGTTTTATGGAAAAAATGCACTGTGCAAATTGGGTTGTTCAACATTTTGGAATCTTTGGAATGGGTAGGGGAAAAGATAAACGTTTTTCAGCATATTTATAGTATGAAGTGTCAAGCCTAGGATGAAATCTGTCTTCCCAGGAGAATTTGGATTTCAGCCATCAGATTCAGAGATGCAGCCTTCAATGTCTAGTTTGCACAAGCTGATCTCCCTCTGTCCCTGTCACCTGTGGGAAAAACAGGTCAGAGTGTCTTTTAAATCCTTTTGAGCGTGGAAGAACAGGTGAACACTTTCATCAGTGTGTTCAAACAACTTGGTATGAAAATTCTGCACAAAATACTATGGGAATGCAAGATTGGACAGTCTAGGGGAGAGTTTGGTGTTACTGTAGTTTTTTATCTCCATGACAGAAAAGCTGTCCCCTGCTCTGTTTCTCTTGTGCTAGAGCAGTGGTTAATATATTAAAGAAATGAGGCTGAAGTCAGGTAGGTTGGAAAAGATGTATTTGTGGGGAACTGGGAAGGGTGTGCTTCAAGGGAAAAGGATTAACTTGAAAAATTGTAAGGTGTCAGGAGGTAGCAACCAGGTGAAGATTAGTGAGAATGACAGGTGTGGTCACAGTTGCAGATGACATAAGTGGTAGCTAAGCAAATTTTTTGTTATTCAGATTTGATGCAACCTAATTCATTCTCCTTCTGTCCTTCTTTGAAGTGTTTAGAGACAATTTGTTTCAGGTTTTTAATTTAGCAGCTGTAAAAACAGTCCAGTGAGATGGAAACAATAGAGAGAGAAGAAAAGGTTTTTATATGGGTTAGTGATGTCATAGCTGAGCACTTAAGAGAGCCAAACCAGCCCTGCAGATCTGTGTCCCTGCTCCACATTGAGGAGCCTCAGCTGCAGAAAACTTGTGGCTGTGCATGGTTTGCTCCCTTCCCCTCTTTCTGGGCTGGTCCATGCAGCTGTGTGATGGCAAGAAATGTATTCCTCTCAGATGCATCCCAAAAAATACACCTCTGTGTAGGTGTCAGGTATGGGCTTGCAGGACTTAGGGGCACCTGAGGTCTTTGCTCCCAAGGGTGGAGGGATTTGCACAGTACCAGGGTTCAGAGCAAGGTGTGACTTACCTTTCCTTAATTGCTGGCCAGAATGGAGGCAGCCTGGGTTGATCTGGTAATCATGGGGATAAAGGTCTCAGTTCAGTCTGATCGTGTTTCCCCAGTGGGGTAACCCAGCAGGGAGGTGTGAGAGTTTCCAGAGGAATTGGCCAACACCCTTGTGTTGACTGATGCTGTTACTGTGGCACAGATCTGGCTAGAGGTGGCTGGAAACTGGTCTGATGGGGGAAAGGCTTGTCTAGAGATCCTGCATGGAGAGTTCTGAGGGTGAGGCAGCCGTGTCTACACTCTCAAAGAAGCTTCACACACCCACCTGAACTATCAGCCCAGGAATTCCCAGTGAGCAAAGGTATGTTGGAGTTGCATTGGATCAAGGCTTTTACAAACTGGATTATTGTGGCTCTTTGGACGATGTTGCATGAGTGATTTTCTTGGATGTCAGCATTTCTTCCACAGAGGGTATGGTACGTCTCATGATGTCTTTTTTTCCTGCTACAACAGATTTTGTGTGTGTATGTGTAGGCCATTAAAAAGAAGAAAATTTTAATCACTGCAGAATAAGCTAGAAAAGAAACTCATGATGACACTATGGAAGGACTTAAAAAAGATAGACGTGGAATTCAGCTGCTTATTAATAAAAGATTAAACATTATTATTTTAAAAAATAATAAAAGGAATGCTTTGCATCATTATACATTTTAAGTAAGTACAAAGTTCATATAATAATGTTTCACTTTAACCAAAATATTGATTCCTCAGTTCATTGTATCTGTGGGAGGAAACAGATCTTATAAATAATTTATGTACTAGATCTTAGTTCCATTTTGAAAAACAGTGGGGTTTTTTTCCCCCATGAGCTAAATGCTTCTCCCTTATCCTCTTGTTCCTCGTGATGAGGACTTTTGCCTGCTGCATCACTGAACATTTCTGCTCCCATCACTGTCCTGGAGCTCCCCACCTGGAGAAGCTGTTTTGCTGGCCTCATTGTCCGTGTTGTTGTTGAGGATGTCATCACAATCCATCTGTGCCATCAGGTTGAAGCGCTCAGCCACGCAGTGGGCGGTGAGCCGAGCCTCGGGGTCGTGGTCCCAGCACTCCGTGATGGTGTCGCACAGGAAGCGCATTCCCTGCAGTTAGAAGGGCTGAAATTAGGATCAGAAGGCAGGAAGGAGAGCATCTAACACAGTTTTAGTGGTTTACCAGACTTCTGACAGCCTCCTGCGTAAAGGCTGGTTTTGGCCAAGCTTAAGCACAAGAGGAATCAGCCTCGGTAAGTTGTGGAAGTGCTGATGCTTCCACTGGCACTGCTTGTGTTAGAGCAGCAGCCTCAGCTCTCACAGCATCTGCTCCCAAACATTCCCCATGTTCTCTGGAAACCAGCTTGTGTTGGCTGTGAGACTTAGAGCCTGTTTCCTTCCAGCCTGTATTTATTTCCTGTCTCAGCCTTGCCCATTTGGATCAGAGCACCCTAAAATCCTAAAAGACAGGAGAGGTGTGGACAGTGATTGTAGGCTGCTGGCTGAGCCCAGCCTCTGGGTTTGAGCTGCACCCTGCCTGTTACACCTGGAGGGAGGGGTTGGGGAGGGGAGGAGGTGCTTTTCAAAGGTAGGTTTGAAAATAATTTCTTACATCTGACTTCTTGTTTTAGCGGCATTCTGAAAGGGTGTGCTGTGCCAAACACTCGTTTCAGTGTGCAGCTGAACATTGTTCTCTTATCACAAAAGAGTGTTTTGGTTGAGAGTGTTGAGGTGCTTCCCAGTTTACTCCAGATCACATGGAGTTCCTTTCAGCTACAATGCTTACATCTCCCAGAAAGCTGGGAGTTTTTTGCCCAATTGTGTAGGGCTCTGAAAAGAGTCACAATATTTGGGGCCTGGGAACAAAATAAATGGTAGTATTCAGCTGGTGCATCCCCCACCCTTTAGCTAGTAACACAGCTAGCACCAGAAGCTGTGTTGAACCTTCCCTCGCCCATGTAATTCCATCATGTGCTATTGCTCTTGGCATCATTGTCAACTAAAGTTGGAACACAGTGGAAAAATCATTATTCTAAATAAAGCTTCGTGGTTTTCAGTGGGTTTTATGTATTTCTTAATTTGCAATTAAGAGAAACCTGAAATTTCATGTGGACCCACACAAGAGGAATATCCAAGTCCTACAGAGATAGAGTCAGTTCCATCTGCCCTGCTGCACCTTACTCAGAACTCACTGCTCTCTGCTAAGGTTCATTGTGTTAAGTCTTCCATAATAGACACAGATTGGAGAGAACAGGATTGTACAGCAAAACTGACAGATGGTGTGTTTCAGCACCTCTGACGTCACTTATTTATTAGCTTAGTTGAAAGGATTTGAGGGTAATTGATTACATGCAAAAATGAGCTAGCTTAGGTGAAGCTTTTAAAGTCATCCTGTTCTCAAACAGGACATCCAAGATTTTCTGTACTTATTTTTCCCTGAAATCATAACATTTATTTGCAGTTTGGCTTGTAGTGCTGATATTCTTTTGAAGATATAACTGAAACATCTTGTTTGGCTTACAAAATTAACTTAGTTTGGCTTTTATATTTGATATCTGTTTTTCTAAGATTCCAAAGGATGCTGAGTTGTACAAGTGTATTTTTAGTGGCAGTATTGACTTAAGCTGCCACTGCTCCTTCCTGTCCTGCACCAGCCTCTGGTTGTTCTAGTACCTCAGTCTGTTCAGCTGCTTTGTGAACCAGATTCACCTGGCCTAAAAAACTGTTTTTTTCCCTTTTATTTCAATATGCTGGGGTGTGAAACGAGGTAGAAGCATGGACCTAAGGGGTCTGTAAGTTATCTGGGAAAGTGGGGATTAATTTCTTTAGCTGACTTTGTTGTGGGGCCTTTCATGCAGTTGCCCTCAAGCTGCTGTTGGGTAAATCAGCCCTGTCAGGGAAATTAGTGCTGACACTTGCTGAAAATCAAACCATGGTCTTCACTTGACTGAGAGCAGTCCTGACGGTTGGAACGTGGAAGTTTTTATGACTTATTGCCATAAAAATGACAATATGACTTATGACAGATGTTCTGGTGGGAACATCTATTGGTGCCTCCCATTCAGCTGAGTGGCTTGTCACCCTTTCTCGATGTCACCCAACACTTCCTCCCACGGGAAGCCCGCCTGGACCCCCGGAGTGGCACAAGCCGGTGGCTTTCTGCTGCTTCCCAGCAGATGGTGCTGCCCAATTCCTCATCCTAGAGAGAACTGTTGCAAAATGCCCAGAAATTGCTATAAAGCCGGGCTTGTAAGGAGATTAATCAGAGAAAAACTTTCAGCAACATAATATGGCTTTTCTGTTCTTCCCCAGTGGCCATCAGATGGTCCAATAAAAAGTTCCCACCTTATAAGCCTTGTTATGTTTGCCTGCTACGCCAGCCCAACTACAGCAACATTATTTCAGGGAGGTGACTGCAGTCAGCCTCCCTTCAGCCCTGGGAACAGCACAGTTATGCTCACACTCTATCAAAGTGTGATTTTTGACAACCCAAGCTTCTGTATATTTTTTCTGTGGTTTCAAAGTTTATCAGAGACCCTGTGAGGAGAATGTCTGAGCTGAATACTCAAGGGCTTCAAACATGTGGCACAACTGATTGAAGTTCCTGTATTTGCCTTTGTTAATGAAAAAGGCTGGGTGAGCTCCAGAAATGCACTCACCAACTGATGAACTCCCCAGGAGTCCCACAGAAGCCGGATTCATTTGATCCTGTTTGCAGTTTTGGTCAGTCGGGTCAGCTGTGAGTCTTTGGACAAACATGGTTTTGAGAGGAGACACTGTAGGGAACATGTGGCCTCCTAAGGTTGAGAAGTTCTCTCTTTCCTTTTGCAAAGCCTGCCTCTGTGTGCCAGCAGGGCAGAGCGGGAGCAGAGGCAGTGTGTTTTATGGGTGGATGTTGCAAAACAATTCACTGAGCACTGCAAGGCTCTGAAAGCCAGCAGGCTCGATGTTCCAGCTTGATTCTCAGGTGAACGGGAGTGTTGATCAGCAGATGGTGTTTTTCCACAAGACATGTGAGATTCAAGAAATACCAAAATCAGGCAAGATGTGGAAGTCACCATCAGCATGCCTGTTACCCCTCTTGTCCTTAGAGTGTGGCAGAAAGCACTGGCCTGGGGCAGCGACCCTGTCAGGGCCAGGAGGGAGCTCTGTTTCTGTAGCTGACTGATCTGGGTGTGCTTGTAGGTGGTTTTAACAGGGTACATTTTGTAACTGCTAAAATGTTCCCATTCTAGAACACTGGGTTAGGCCCTCTATGCTGACACATTTGCTTTCAGACCTTCTGAAGGCTGGTGAAAGACTTCCCTTGACAAGCCCTGAGCCTTGCGGAGCCCCTGCTCTCAGCTTCACTCACTTTTCCTGAGTGTTTCACGTGAAGGAGATGCTTTCTGGTGTGCTCTTCCTTGTGGTAATGGAAATTTCTCTCATGTTGAAGGTAATTTTGAGCTTGAAAAACCCAGGCAGAAGGCTGGATGTGCCTCCCTTCCCCTCTGTCCCTGCTGTGAATGGCTGTGTGTGAGGGACTGTGTGTTTCCTGAACCTTCTAGACAAGGTGCTGGGGGAGAAGTGGGGAAAAATCCAATGATTCATGGGAAGAACTGCACTGAAGTGCTCCCTTTTGCTGTTATCCTCAGGGTAACTGAAACCCATCACCTGCCATGCACAACTTCCTGATCATGGCTATTGATCAGCACATTCTGCTGTGTCTGTGGCTGGTGGCTTTTCTGCAACAAGGAAATGAGTGGGACTTGTGTGGGCCCAGCCATCCACAGTGGAGCTGAAAGCAGATCCCAGGAGTTCTGCCCACTTTCCCTTTGACTATAAATTTAATTTTTCAGGCTGGTTTAGTGAGGAAGGACAATGTTGCTCTGTTCTGAGCCAGCTGCTCCCAGCTTACCTGGTGCACCAGCCAGCTGCTTGGGATCTCGGGCCGGCCTCTGCCATGCAGCACGATGTCCCTCATGGTGTCCACACAAGGCTGCTCCTGGACTTTCGACCCAAAGGGCAGCTCATAATTCTTTACCTCTGCAAGGAAGCAACAGCAGCATTACAGGATGTTTCTAATGCATTCCCTGCTTTGTTTTGATATGGACCACTGGATGAGAATGGATTTGTTTTTAACAGTCTGCAAAAAAATAAGCAGATCTGGAAACAATTGAGAATTTGAACACAGAGATGTAGTGCTGGGTTTTCACATAGAGGTTCTTTTCAGAGACAGCACCGAGGAACCATCTGACCTCCTCCCTGAATCCAAAAAATGCAGTACGAAGGACCTGGTTTGTCTTTGGGTGAGACAATTTGAGCAGGCAGAAAGTACTGTGCTGGTGAAGGATGGGAGAGGTGACTATGACACGAGAATTTCCAGATTTCTTCTACAGGCAGGGAATGGGTCAGAGGAGAAATGGCCCTTCCAGAAGACCAACCCCATGTTGTGGAAAACCAAGGAGAAACTGGCTGTTGGCAGAGGTGAGAGGCCACCCTGGTTTCTGCCAGCTCCCACCTGGATGTGAATAGAGGTGAGATATGAGCAGGGAGAGATGGCCTGGAATGCTGGCTTGGGAACAAAGGATGGGGCATCCAAACCAGGCAAGGGCCTCCCACTGCTGACCATGGGGCTTGCAGGGCAGTTGGAGCAGCTTTGTGGCCAAGGATTGAGGGTTCCTGCATTTCTGTGGGCTGGTATTGTGAGTAGGTGGGATAGGGAAGGAAGGTGAAGTTAATGAAATGTTTTGCTACATACAATTGTAGATGCCAGGACATGGCTCTGGGAAGTGACAGAGTGTGTTATACTGTCAGAGGCTGGGGTTTGTGAGTCCCCACTACAACATAAGCTTTCTGGTGTTTTCTGAAGGAAAAAATGGTTGAGGAGGGGAAGGCACCTTTGGCTCTTCCTGCTTGGTTTGCTTTGCACCACCAGCACAAGCTCCATGGGACTTGGCAGCTCATCGGCTTTGAGCAGGGACTGGATTAGATCTCCCCATGGGTCCTGTCCTGCTCCTTGACCACTGAGCCACCACCCTTAAGCCACTGCACACAGAGCAGGGGAATCTGTCGCCAACTCTTGGCAGCCCTGCAGAGACCTGGACCACCCCATGCCTTGTGCCATAGTGGGGATGTGGGAGTAAGGGAGCCAAAAGGCGCACAGCAACCTGGGTGAGATGCTCCTACCTCCTACCACTTCACATCTGGAGGCCATTTCCCACAAAACGAGGGCCATGGAGTAGACATCCATCTGCTTGAAAGACTCCAGGTCTTCCAGGTTCACTCTGGACTCCAGGACCTCTGGGGCCATGTACCTGGCGGTGCCCACCTGGCCGCAGAGAGGAGAGAGGCATTAGCAGGGGTGGGCGAGGACTTTGGCCACAGGACATGGGGGTGGCTGGCAAAGGCTCCTCCAGGGAGGGCTGGTGGGTCATACTTGCCTGCCCGCTGTTGGCAAAGTCATCCACTGTGAGGGAGGGGTCGAGGCGTATGGCGATGCCGAAGTCGCAGAGCACGCACTCCTGCTCATTCTTCACCAGCACATTTGTGCTCTTGATGTCGCGGTGGGCGATGGGGATTTTCGGGCGGCCGCAGGCGGTGTAGTCGCTGTGAAGGTGGGCCACCCCACTCACCAGGGACCCAGCCATCTTCTGCAGGTCCATCCAGCTCAGCACGTGGTGGGAGAGGTAGTCCTTGAGGTTGCCCCGGCTGTGGTAGGCGGTGATGAGCCAGTACTCCCGGCGGGGCCCCGTGCCCCGGTCCTCGGCAGTGAGGAACTGCAGGACGCTGTCGTGCCTGAGGCTGGTGTCGGTGAAGATCTGGCTCTCGTTCTTCCAGGAGGAGTATTCCTCGCAGGGGAAGATCTTCACGGCCACAGTCTCGTACTGCCCCGAGCGGCTGTGGCTCAGCTTGGCCCTCCACACCTCCGCGAACTGCCCTTTGCCCACCATCTCGTCCAGCTCGATGGGCAGCAGCTCGGCGGGGCGGCTGCTGCTGGCTGGGCTCTCGTCCATCAGCACCGACAACTTCTCCTCCCGCTCGCTTGCCTTCCCCTGCTCCGGCAGCACCGGCGGCTGTCCCTGTTTCCCACCCCACGCCTTGGCTCTCTTGCGTCGCTTTTGCGTGCGGCAGAGGTAAAATATCACCGTGATCATCACCGCCACCAGCAGCGGGGGCAGGAGGCTGATGGCAGCCACTGGGATCACCTCTTTGCTCTGCAGCATGGAGTAGCCTGAGGGGAGGAAAGCAAAGGCGAGGTGCTGCTGCTGCGGGTCTGCCACAGCTCGTTTTCATCACGCGGAGGAGGAAAATATGCAAAGCTGTTAATGGAGCGCAGCCCTTCCCGGGGCCGCACAAGGGCTCATCCCCACACAGAACCCAGATGCAGGCACTTAGCAAGGGGGATGATTGGGTTTGGTCCCAAATTTAGCTCCATTTATCAACAGAAGACACAGGCCAGCTTCACTTGGATGGGACAGTGCGGCACAAGAGACTGCAAAGGGCATTTTGGGGGGTCCCAAGTGCTGCTTGCGCTAGTGGCAAGGGGAGCTTGGCTGGAAATAACAATAATAAATCTGAGACAAGGCTCAAAGAAAGCAAATCTCTGAGAGGGCTTGGGGCTGGAGCTTTGCTGGACGCCTCTGGTGCACACAGAGTCAGGAGTGAAGCTGGGGGTAGGCAGCGTGCAGGACCACCCAGCTCAGGGGAGTGCTGGGATGCTTTGCAGGATAATTAGCACACGGGAGCATCATTTCAGCAATTTTGTCTGCCAGTGCTGGCATCTCCTTCCTCGTTACAGGAGCAACCACAACAATCACCAGGGCATGGCTGCATTTGTTTTATTTCTTTTAAAAACCCCCTGTTGGCCTTCAGATTGAGAGGGGGAGGACACGCACACAAAGCCATAACCCTCACACAACATATAATTGTCTGATCCTTTGATGTTTGTGATTCCTGGAATAAACATGCTGACTTCAGTAGAGATATTCAAGTAAAATCTTACTCAGAAGTTTTTCTGCCAAGTATAATAACCCAGGGGAAGAGGGATAAGAATCATTCCATAAGCAAAACTCTCGCTGCTTGACCTCAGTGTGTGCAGATCATAATTCAGGTTCTGGAAAAACAGAGCATTTAGCTATTTTCCTTGGCAAATTTCAAAAAAATGTGCTGCAGCTAATTTCTGCAAGGCTGTGAAAGCGTTTCTAAAATAGGCATCAGGTTTAAACCACAGGATCAACCCAAACTGATATAAATCAATAACTAACTCAGGAATATGTTTATTTTGGAAAGTATTGGGCTTGGATATTACCTACTGCTTTAATGGATTTACCCGACGCTTTGGATCCCATCTTTGAAACTCTGAAGAAAGAGAAGATCTTTTTAAGGGAGTTGCGTGCATAAGTCCTGAAAAGGGGAAGTTAACACAACTTCAGGAAATTCCTGCATGAGGATGCCCCTTCCTGATGGAAGTCTTTTGATACACAGGGGCTGCAGCAGGGCTTAGACCCCTTCTATGGAGAGCAAATGTAGTTGATCTGGCAGTAACCACAGGTCTGTAAGCCCACACCTTGTCGAGCATTGCTGCGTGGGTCTGTCCATCCCTGCTGAGGGATTATGGACCTCCAGGGCTGGGCTCAGCTGGAGCACAGTTGGAAAGCACTTGCCATGCTCCACCCTACCCAGCATCTTCCTGAGGTCTCACCTGGACTTCTGTGTGCACAGCTTTAGGAAATGATGGTTCTGTGTGCTCATTAGCATGGTGTCTGAGCTCTGATGGAGTCCCCTGCATCCCTTGTGCAAGGGCAATGCCACCCAGACCTGAAAGCAAAGCTTAAGGAATCAAGAAACAGGAAAAAAATCTGTCTGCTTCAGCAGATGAGAAGTGCTCCTTTCTCTGCTCAGGAGTTGTCTAGACCATTGAACGTGACAATAATTTAATATTTAGAATGCAAATGATCCCTTAAAGCAGAAGGAAAGGATGTAAAGAATCTGTGAGCTTGGGGTTTGCCTAGGCTGGCCCCTGGCCCGTGTCTAAGAGGAGAGGTTGTTAAAGAGCTGCACTGGTCTTGCTCTGACTTCCAGCGCTTTCCGCGCAGGCTGACAGGAGGAGGCTGGTTATGGAGCCTTTGCTGGGGGTGGCATTTCCAATGAGCCAGTTGTCATTTTTGTGTGAAATTGCATATCCCAGCACCAGCTTTGGGATTTGACTATCTCTCCCTAGAAGTGTGTGTACCTGTTATGTTTGGCTGGGGAAGCAGCAAAGAACCGCCAAATTTAGCATCATTTGCCTCCATTAAAGTGACTTGTTTGTTCAGAGAATTTGCATTTCATGTGATGTTTTTCTTTTTTCCTTATATTGCAGGAGAGCTATACCACTGGCTTGCAGGTTCTGCTTAGGCTCCTTGTGTGATTATGGAAAATTTGAGGCATTTCATTTTGCTTTTGTTACAGGTCGGATTGTTGATGGACACTTGGATAAACCTGGGCCACTTGGAGCTGGGGAGGTTTAGACAAGCCCCCAAAGGCTCTGGTTGGAAATATTTCCAAAGCATACGACCCTCCTGAGGTACAGAAATGAGCTGCCTCTTAGTTTTCCCTCCTGTGGATTTACAGCTCCCGTTGGATCTCCAGCCACGTGCAGCAGCGTGCCAAGCCACGCTCACATGTGTGCTCAGCACCTGGCTGGCTGCAGCTGTCCCTTCCCGGGAGAAACACTGCTGCAGGAATTCCCAGGAGAGCAGCAGGGGAGGCATTCCTGTGTGCCCACCCCAGCATCTCCACCTCTTTGGGTTACAGCCATGAGTTCCTGTGGGTGTGTTCTGGGGCAGGATTTGCTCCAACGTGATTTATTTAAAGCTTTCAGAGCTTTTGACTCTCATTACGTTACACCAGCCCCTGGGTTCCCCAGATGATTCAACCTCTGCTGAAGGCACAGCCCACTGAGAGATATGGTGGGTTTTCCTTCGCCTGATTTTTCCAGACAAAGGCTGCAGGTATTTCTGTGAGGAATGCTTTGGCCACAGACAAAACGCTGGGCTCAGTAACGGGGTAGAGATTTTAGCTGGCTTTTGTATAGGGTGGTGAAAGAAGATGGCAAAAGAGCCTCTTCTGCCATTGCACCTCCTCCTCCACAGGAAATACAGGGGATTTGTCATTGGTGCTGGGTGCTGCTCCCCCATAAACAGCATTAACAAAAGCACTCACCATTGGTGTGGTTTTCAAAGATGAGTTTGTCATTGCACTCCTGCTCATCCACACAGCCACAGACGTAGATGACGCCGTCCTCGCTGGGCTGGTGGCTCATGATGCAGCGCGAGGTGTTGTAGTTGGGGACCATGAGGTTTTCGATGGGGCGCTGGGGGTTGTGGCAGAGCGTGCTGATCCTGATGCTCTCGTTGTCCTGTCTCCTGCAAGTGACAAATGAACCCACACAGAGTTAGCCCGGCAGCTTGGCCCTTGTGTCACCTTAAACCCGGTCCTAAGATCATTTCTTTAAAGCTGTGTAGGGAATGACTATTTGCAGTGGCTGTGGTATAATTCTACTTACACGTACTTATAGGACCAGTGATGGGCATGACTGGCCCTGCACAGGCTACAGCATTGCAGCTACTTCTGGGTGCATTAAAAGAAATGACAACCATTCATTACTTTTCCAGGAGCAGCCTCTGCCTCCTGACCTGGTGGTGCAAAGCTGGGGATGAAGGTATGGAGAGATTTCACCATGTCTTTGAGGTCAGCTGGGAAGTCAGACATAAAAGCCAAGGCAAGGACCTCAATTCATCACCCTCTCCCTGGTGAAGTGCCCCAGTTTCAGCACTCCCCACTTTTTTTTTTTTTTTTTTTTTTTTTTTTTTTTTGTGGCTACCAGGTAATTTGACAGAGGAGCTCCCAGATGAAGAGTCCTAGGAGGGTGAGATCCCTTCTGCTAAGGCTGGACCCTGGAGCACACGAGCATGAGGCCAAAGCTGCTGCTGTGACTGAGATACCCACTCAGGACAAGTTTGGATGATCCACAAATGCCTCTGCAAGTGAGCAGCAGGCAGCAAGGCTGGCCTGGAGGTGATCTTATTCTCTGGCTGAATCTTAGAATGGGATGGGAGATGCTGGCAGGGGTTGGCAGGGTATTTGTGACTGTGTAGCTGCCTCACCCCACCCAATCCACATTGCAGGATGCAGCTCCATCCTGTGCCGTGGGATTGCTTCCCTGGCATGGGGATTCCTGCTGCAGGGGTCTTGCTTTTTCCTGTACGTGTAAGCTGTAAATGGGAAAAACCCAGTGACACACTGGATTGCCTAGCCAGGATTTAAGGTGGCTTCTCCATGTGTGCGTAGGGGAATTTGGGGCAGGGGGTGGATTTTGTTATTTGTTTGTTTGGGTTTCTTGTTGTGTTTTGCTTTTTAAAAGTCCATAATGCAACAATTAAGTTGTGGCAAACTCCTACTGAAAGCTGGCATTCAGCATTCACGCTAATTAGCAGGTTGAGATAAAGCCTAGCGATAAGTGCTTGGCTGGCTTTCACTTTGGCAGCCAAATTAAAAGGGAAAGTGGAGGAAAATCACTCTGGGCAGACTCAAAATGGATGCTTTTTTAGTTTTGCTCACAGGGCCCAAAAAGCTGGGGGAGGCACTCTTCCGGGCCAAACCATGCAGTGTGTGCTTGGCCTGAAATGCAAGATTGTGTTTCCTGTCCAGGCACCTCTCACAGGAGCAGAAAAGGACTTTTTCCAGGGGATAGGAAAGAGGTGGGTTAAACCCAGTGGGTTAACCCCAGTGTGGTGCCAGCTCAGTTGTCCATGTGCTGGATGGGGATTGACCTTGGCTGCACCCCTGCATGTGAACTGAGGTTTCACCCCCCTGATGCAAGAGGACATCATAGGTTTGGAGGTCAGTGTTGCTGCTTTGCCCTTGGGTTCAGCTTGTAAAGCTAAATTCAGAGGTTTATGGGAATTTATAGGTCCTGCAGCAAACTTGCCCCGCTTTGTGTCAGACACTCAAAAGCTGAACTTACTTAGAAAATAAACTGGTACTAATTACGGGGCAGACCAAATGATGAGACTGGCTTTTTTTTTTTTTTTTTTTTTTACTGTGCATTATAATTTTAATTACAATGGAGCCAAGGCAAGAGGAAGAGAAAGTCCTGAATTACTGCAATAGGCAATAACACAAGCACAGGGGTACACACATCCCTGTCCCCCCTTGGAGAGGGGATTTCCTCTCACCATATTGCCACGCAGATCTCGTAGGGGTCCTCGCAGTAGGAGTTGAGGTTGCAGTTGCTGTAGCACACCTTCTCCTCGCACGCCGGGGCTGTGGAGTCGCACCACTTGCACAGGTTGGTCTGGAGGCTGCGGCGGGCGCCGGCCCCGCAGGCTGCGGGCACAGGGGGCTGCGGGTGAGCGGGGAACACAACCACCATTCCCAGAGATTCACACAGCCAGGAGCCCCCACTGACCCCACTGCTCCGTGCGTTTTTTTAAAAAGCCTTTGCCTGGCTCTCCACTGCCCAGTCAATTGTGCTTTGTGTTATCCCAAAGCCTCGAGGAGGTGGGAGAATGCCTGCGGGACAAAAGCCTGGGAAACCGCGGAGAATCACGTTTTCCCTCTGCTTTTCCCGTACCATTTATCATCAAGGGGAAATTTGCTTCTTCCTCTTCAGCCCAGGCTCAAATTGGCATCTCCCCTCACCCCGAGTGCGTTCGGTGTTGGAAAAGGGGCATCTCCGGGTCCCTGCGTGCCTGGAGAGCCCATTTATTCCCCTCTCAGCAGGAGGAGAGGTGCAGGGGAGGGATGTACGGCCAGGCTGGGACAGCTCCCGCCTCTCCTGCTGCCTCCTCGTCCTCCCCCTTCCTGTTCAATGGGGCCAAGCTGGGAAAGGTGTTTGCTGCCCACTCCCCAAGTGTCCGTGCTGAGCCTTCCCAAGCTCTGGGCAACAGGGGCTGCTCCCTCCAGGGCTCCACTGCCCACTGTGCCCATTCCAGCACGAGATATTCTCCCAGCCCTTGAGCCTCACACCTGCCCCAGCAGCAGGAATAACTGTGGGGAGCTGCTCTGCCTGTAACTCACAGGCATAACATTATCTCTATTTTTATAAAAAGGGTGCATGAACTATGCTTGGTTAAGGGATAAATCCCAGCTAAATTTAAACTTCCTGTCTTAAGGCTGCTAAATGTCTTTAAAAATGCCACTGAGTGGCTTATGTAGAAATATTTATTTATACTTTTTTTTTTAACTTAAATATATGTACTCCAAAGTGTTCGGGTATGAACCTGAACGACAACAGCTAATTTTTTTAAGCTTTGGATCATCCATAATTCTCTGGCTGCCATGTCCCTGAGCCACCAAGCAGTGCTGGGTACTCTCAGCCCCAGTCATAGCTCACTGTGCTGCCACAGCCCTCGCAGAGCTTTCCATCACCAGCTGTAAGTCTGAAAAAAAAAAAAAAATTGCAAAATTCCTGACTGTGACTTGGGGAGCCTCAGCCCCTGCAAGCAGGGACCTGCTGACCCAGCACAGCCATGGGCACCCCCAGGTCTGTCAGTGACATGCAGGAACTCCTGTGTTTTTGGTGGTCACCTCTGTGACCTGTCTGTGTTCACAGCTGAGCCCACGGACCCTGTCCCAACAGCAAAAAGGGTTTTTTAACTTTCCTGCTCCCCAAATCCAGGGCATGCAGCCTGCTCTGACAGCATTCCACGTGCCTGCTCTGCTTCCCTCACCAGACCCCTCTCCCTGCAACAGTCGTAAAGAACTGCTGGAAGGCTCCCGCACAGAAATAAACCATTTACAAGCTCCCATGGCCTTGTATTTAGGGCCAAGGTTAATGGTGGGGGGAAGACCTGGGTGCAGAGGAAAAGACTGTTGGATCTGAAGTTGGAAGGAGGAAATTTTGGCTTAAATGACCCATGCCAGGCTTAAAATCAGCAGGGATTGTGTTGTGCCAGGTTTAGGGGGAGCAGGGTAAGTGAAGATATTGCCCACAGCCTCTTGCTCAGCATCCCCCCATCCATGAGGCCGCTCTGGCCCTGCTGGGGCACGCTGAGATTTTGTGGGTGACCTCAAGAGATCCAGTTACCCACATCCATCCGAGGGTGAGCCACCAAAACCATGGCTTCAGCTGGGATTTGCAGCACCTGCAGCCAGCATGAGCTACCTTCACCTTTCTGCCAGAGCAGGGCTTGTAGACTCTGAGGCAAAACTCCACTGGAGGATGAGAATTTTGGGTGTGGAACAGAAATCAGGCCCAGCGTTTGTGTGCAGCCTTCAACCTACAGCAATAGCCACCGCACCCTACAGACTCCATTTGGGTAATCTCATGGGAACAGAGATTTGAAGGCAAACTGGTTTCTCACCCCAAACCCAAGCCCTACCACAGCCAGGCCTGTGCTCTGGTGGCGTCGCTGCCACAGTTCCTCTTCCACCCCTTCAGCCCAACCCATCCCCAGCTCCCCCGTGTGCTGCGCTCGCAGCAGGCGCCCGTGGGACTGGCTCAGCACCACCACCCCAGGGACACCTGCAGGCTCTGCAGAGGAGTCACAAAATGACAAATCCAGGTCGTGGATGTTGCTGGTGCAGGATGAGGTTGGTTATTTATATATTTATACCCACCAGGTATGTTATTTACTTATTTATATCTAGGATTTGCTTGAGATCTCAGGGCAGAAGGTCAGACTCGCCCGTAGTGCACTGGTGTGTGTGCTGGGGATCTTGGCTTGGCTGTGCTGTGCAGAGGGGAAGCCAGGACAGATGAAGGAGTTAAATATGGAAACAAGAGCCAGAAATACAGCAGTAACTGGACAAAATTCTTTGGAGACAAATTGTTCTAAACTAACTCAGGCTGTGATTCTGTTATCTGCTCTGCAAGAAAGAGCAGGGATATCTCTTTTTTCTCCTCCCCCTCCTCCTTCTTGAGCTAGGAAGCTTAAAAGAAGAGCCCAAAGCCCACTGCAAGGCTCTTCAGGACTGTGTGTCCTTGAACCATTAGCTTGTAGGTACAATTTAACTGCCACATCACTCATCTTGGCCCTGATTAGACCCAGATGAACACTTTCAATATTAATAGTTAGATGATTTAATAAAGCTGCACAAGCAGTAAAAGTAACAATACACTTCCATAAACGGGTTCCAGATGTTGCCAAGGCAAATGCTAAACATCAAAATACAAACTTCAAAAAAAAAAAAAGTTAGGGGAAAAAAAAAAAAAGAGCTGGATAAGCAAAACTTGGAACAAACTATAAACTAATTAAATGTGGGTTGAGTTTTCCAAAAATAAATTGAAGCCATAAGGATGTGATGTGAGCCAATAAATAGTACAGTTAGTCAAAGTTATTGTGGAAGGACAGTTGGAAAGATGGTTTGAAGTTACTGATAGGTGGGCTCACAGCAAGCTTGGCTTCCCATCAATAGGAAGGCTTGTTCTCCTGTGCACGAGAGCAGGATCAAATCTTCTGATATCTATAACTGGGACCCCAGAGAGGTTACTGAGAGAATATGAGATGATTTTCAAGTCAGGGAATAATGGAAAAACGATGCCAGAAGTGCCTGTGTCTCTCCTGCAATAGCAGCAGGGGTGATACACCACCCAAGGACACCGGGATATTTTTTCCTGCATGTCGGGGCAGCCTTCCAGCCTCTCATTGCCCACAGAGCATCCACAACCTCTGCTTGGCCACCTGCAAAGCCCATGGAAACACCACTGCTGTAGTCAATAACCCACCCTCTCCCCAACACAGGAGTCATTGAAAACAGCTCTCAGAGAGAATTCCACCCCAGTCCCATCGCTGCTGTCACTGAAGCAGCCACCCACAGCAGATGAGCTTTCTGCCAGCAGGGACTGCACCTGTAAGAACAGGGAAGGGGATTTTGTGAGGCCATCTCTACCACTGCAGCCCCAGAGAGCAGGTGGGTCACCCAGCACCTCACTCTGGCTCCAGTTTTCCCCACACTGTGGTTCCCAAGGAGGAGGAGCCACTCAGGAGCAAGCTGGGGGTGCTTGGGGGTGCAGGCACAGCACGTTTGTTACAGGCAAGGAGAAAGCTCCTCATAGCCCAAGCAAGGGCAGGAAATGCATTTTCACTGAGGGGCAGAACGAACACTTTCAGTTCTCAAGTATTCTCCCTGGCATGGTGCTTTGGGACAGCTAAACACCAAGATGGGCTTAAGAGAATGTGTTTGGAGTGAGATGCTAGGGCACTTATCCCTGTTCCCAGCTCTTCCCTTCCCAAGGGGGAAGGAGACCAAGGCTTTTGTTATACAGGGCATCCATTATAGGACCTTCAGATCATGTCCTGTCTTGTCCTTACATTGCTTGTATTTCTCAAGGACAAAGAAAATTTATTAATTTTTAGTTGGTAAATGTTCTACAGTGAAGCCTATCCCCTCTTTTCTGCATGTCTCCAAGCACCCCAGGATGGGGCTGACACTCTTTCAGCAGTCACAGAGGGCTGCCCAGCTTGCTGCTACTGTAGTGGCTCTGGGGGCCCCTGCATCATCTTTTCCATGCAATTCAGTCAACCTGTAATCCCCAGGCTTTGCACTGGGAGAGACTAAGGCTAGGGAGATTAGTTGAGATGCTCTTTGCTTTCTCTAATGAGCAGTGCACTCAAACACAGGACTGGGGAGCAGCTCTAACGCAACCCTGCAGCCCTGTTCTTCCTGGCAGCCCTCAGATAGGTTCCCTGATGGAAACACAACCTGCACTGGGACCTGCTTTCCCACCTGGGTGAGCCTGGGCTCCGCGGTGAGTCCTGCGCCTGCCGCCAAGTTTAGGATTAGGCTTTGCTTTGGGCTTTTATCCATGGTTAACGACACAAGTATGCAATAACAGAGCCTCTCATAAAATTATTATGAGAACAAACAAATTCCTTCCCTTTTATACGCAGTACTTTGTTTTTAAGATTAATCCAACGGCAGAGCTGATGGGCTCTGCTCTCTCGCTGACCCATGTGAGAGCACCAGGTGCTCCCCATCACCAGGTTACTCCTGAGCTGCCTCCTCCATCATGCAACAACCAGTGCCACAGATGGGCATCGGGGTAATTCCTGTGCCCTGATTTCCAGGAGATTCTGTGCAGGGTCAGAAGTTCCCATGGAAGTTGTTCAGCATGACCTGTGTAACAGTGATCCCAGATTTCTTGCAGATTTCTTGCAGTCTTGCCTGGTCTTGTTGCAGCATCCTGCTGTGCTGCAGAATCTCCCCAGAACCAGACCTCAAAGTGTTGTACTTCTATTTTGGATGCAGCTTGGTTTCCTCCAGCACACTCCTGTTCTCCAGTGGTGGGGTCTGCTGCTCTTCTCCATCCCTGTGTTTTACACTGTATCTTTATCTTTGTAGGAGAGGAAAATCAAATGGAGCTGGAAAATCTTAATACCCCA